TGGCTCGCTCGATGGGAATTTCGAGGGTATTTTATGGAACATTAATCTTCCTTGCAATTTCGACCCATGTCGAATTCCTTGTCGAACTTCCATTTCATCTGCGTCTTACACAGCCATGAATAATAACACAGAGGGAAATTATCTTCCATACTCGAGGAACTTTGTTCCTAATCAATCTCACGCTGCTGCCGAGATCCCTTTGCCACTACAGCATCCTTCTCGTTCTAAATTTCCTAGTTTTCAGCTTCGCTCATCAAAACACCGCTCCTTGGTCAACTGGCCACGAGATTTATGGCGAAAAGTTTGGTAAACCAACACGTCTGTTTCCCTAAACTTAATACTCGCTAGCTAAAAGCGACGATGACTGGAAGAAAGATCGCAGAAATTTTGACAGGCTGTGGGATATTAAGAAACATGTTCATAATACCCAATTTCCTGACAACTCTCGCTTGTATTATGCTTGTGAAACGAAAACAAGTACTTTCCCAAGATTTTCCTTATTATTTTCAAAAAGCAGGAGTTTCAAGATTTCATTTCTGATCATTTTGGGAATTTTTCAAATTGACTTGCGCGAGACACGATTAATTGTAAATTAAATTAAACCTGTCGTGATTTAATTTGAGAATGCGTTATAGTAAATGAATAATTGTTGCAATTTTTAAGTATGCTTCGTGGCAAGGAAAGAAATTGATAACAATTATAGAAGAAATTAGAAAATAAGATAGAAAGGTCAACTCTAGATTGTTTTCGAAATATCAAACTTCTGAAATTTATCTTATTATCGTTTGGAAATTTTTTCAGCCGAATGAAACCTGCCACGACGAATCATGTTTCAACATAGTTAACAGCGAAGAAAGAAATTTTGAAATTATGGAAGAAATTAAAAAATGACAAGTAAATATATAATTAAAAATTGTACATTTAGAGTAAGTAGATTGTACAGAATACTTCTATGATTCATATAAATGAATATAAATATCCCACCATTTTATTTGTAATAATTTAACACAAAAATCCTCCCTAGAAAGAGCACATTTGAATTTTATAATAACATTTTCTGTATGAATATTATTTTCCTAATTTTTCTAATTCTCTAAAATTCTTAATGCATTAATATATTCCATTAACGATATAATGTATTATACAAAAATATTTTAATATGCTAAATATATTTCATTCTCGATATATTGTACAATGTTTCATTTATTTATCTATATGGACCCAAATTAATCCTATAACACGAAAAAGAATATCACAACCAAACTTTCAATTAAAAATTCATACATTTACCTCGCAATAACAGCATAGAGGCCTGAACATTATTGAAAAATCACTCTGAATCCTATCTCTCGTCAAAGATCCTGCAGCTGCACGAACTCCAAAACTGAAACGCGTAATTTTCGCAAACGCAGCGACAGAAGTTACAAATTCTATCACGAAACACCGTGTGACTGCTGCTTCAAACCGCTCTCCGAACTGTGTCTAAATAACGTCGCCGAATCCTGCCATCATTTTCGTCCTTGACGGAACAATGGGCGCGAGTTACAGGATATCAAGACCGGGATCTCGGTCCCTCTTTTATTCCTCGTTTCATTCCGTGCCATTTTTTCCTTCTTGCCATCCACCTTCCTCTTTCCTCGCATCGGTCCCTCTCGTTGGTACATTATCTCCGCGACCCACACGCGTCTGCACGCAGCCTGAGCAGCTGAGCCGGAGCAAACAGACTCCGGGATTTCCCGTTGATAGCCTTGGCCGACGTGCACGTTAAGCCGAGACTACATGGGCCACGTGCCGCCACTCTAACGACCGCGGACGCCGCGCAATTCCGAGTCTCTTAAACGATTCCTCCTTCGCCGGCGGCCAAGCCAGTGTCAGACGCTCGGGGCATCGTTCGCTGAGGAACGGGTCAATTGAACCGATCCGTCTGCTTTCTCACCGGTCCCGACGTCATCATCTCCAAGGAGGCATTCCCGCTGACGATCTCGTCCGCAATTGCTCGGAATTGCCGGTGACCCGGCTCTGACGTCAGCATCCGGAAGTGGAGGCTGGCTGCATGCACGACGCGATCCCGCGCGAGGATCGCAGCCAGCAGGCGACCAGTCGGGGCCAGCGTTAAGTTTAGCCACTTCGACCTGGCAGCGACAGTGTGTCAAGATCACTTGATCCCTCCGCGCCTTCACCTCGAACGCGTCGAGGGCCGATTGTTGCTTCGCTTTCTTGCCGGCTGCTAGAGAGCCAGGCGAGCCCTCGAGCCTACAAAGCGGCAGAAATTCGCCGGGACGAGGAGCGACGAGAGCTGGGTCCTGGCCCTAGAAGCGCTCAAGGGACAGACGTTTCTTCGAGAGGCAATCGAGTGTCGCGAGATCGATAGCCGGCTTTTCGTGCGCAGCCACGAATGTGATCTCGTTACCTGCTACGAAACCGATCGAAACGCCAACTGGAAGGTCATGGTGTCTGCTTTTCATCCTCAATCCTTTACCACGGGATCCTTGGCACTGCGGGCTGAGTGACTGCACCGTTTCCGAGTTCTTTTACAATCGCGGGATTACTCGTTTCCGTGTTTGGAGTTGATTTCAGGAGATCGGTGAGTCGTTCATTTTGGAGATCGAGAAACAGGGCGTACGCAGGTGGCGCGTTATTTTTATTCGCTGATTCAACGTGTTTTCGTGAAGAATCGCTATTGCGTGTGCGTGAATGTCACGTGTTGTGGTCGTTTATTTTGAATAGAGTTGTTACGGTTTAATTGGCTAGTTGGCAGTCATGTTACGTTACGAAGGTGAATGGATGTCGAAAGTATAATAAACGGTTGTTTAACGTGTGTCGTTGAAGTGACTGGGAAATCAAGGGACGACTAGTTTTATCGTTTATTGTGCAGTTATTGCGTGCAACGATGAGTTTCCGATTCGGCTAGATTCGGATAAAAGTGGATGAAGAAATTTAGAATTCAGTTATCGAGAAATGGAATTTGGGAAATGACCTGCCATGTTAGAAACAAATAATTTTGAAAAATAAAGAACGAATTAGAAATTAGCAGAACTAATTAAAGTAACTATAAATTCCACTAGAGGTTCTATTAACTTTCGAATTTATTATTTCGTCATCTAGAAGCCTCGAGATAAAATCTTTTACATAAGCCTTGAACAGTGTTTTAACTTAAATCCAATTGTTCCAATCAGTAAACAATTTTAAAATTCCATTATACTTGCTACACTTAATTTTATTTAACATTAAATTAAAAAATTTGGCTATAGTATAATTCTTTAAATAAACGGTAAGTAATACAATAAAATTTGGAAAGGGACAAAAAAGAAAAAACAAAAATGACACGATAATTTTTACACAATCATTAATTTTTTAGAAATATTGAAATAAATCTGTCACTCCCTATATGTATCGTTAGCCAGCTTTATGAAAGTACAGAGAAGAAATGTGAAACATACGATATTCTATGATGTCAAGTGTCAGTAATATTTCGTTAGACGTTCGAATTGCAATTTACAATTTTTCTATTCGCAAAATGGCCCTTCGTGCGTAACGAATATCTCCCATAAATTTCGCCCGAAAACTTGCATACCCGATTAATAACTAATCACGATGGCCGCAGAATAGCCAATTAACTTTTAATTGCCACTAGAATTGACTGCCACGAAGAACAACGGTCAAATTCGCGAAGCGTGCAAACGTGATAATCGATCCCCCACGAGCTTTATAAAACCTGGGACCCTGTAGCACGCTAATCAATCTTCCCGTGTACGAAATCAATGTATCCCCCTATTCTCTTCCTCCTACTAGCCCACCACCTCACTTGTCATCCTCCTATCCAACCCTTGATTCAGCAAAAATTAGGATATAAAAACGAAAAATCTGAGAAAAACCCAAGAAAAGTACCTACCAACTTTCCACGTGACTCGCAATCTTTCCGTCCAATCGTTAATCTAACCAAAACAAGAACGAAGGAAAAAAGTAAAAAACAGTGCACTTACTGACTGATCATTCTCCTAGCCAATCGTAGCTTCGACCAAAATAGGAATAAAAGAAGAAAGCAAAAGAAAAATATCTCACCATTTTATTTATCATCCCCTAATCAAATCCTATCTCAGATAAAAATAAAATCAGAAGAAGAATATCTATCGGTTCACCACATGACCTATCACCCTTTCGTTCATCTCTTGATCCAGCCAAAACGAGAATAACAAAGTAGAAAAATATACCAAAGGGAAAACACGTATTAACCCACCGCCTAATCCTGTCCCTGATCAAAATAAGAATAAAAGAGAAACATCTAGTAGCTCACCCCTAGCCTGCCGTCTATTTATTCATCCCTCCGGCCGTCGAAAATAAAAAGAAACGAAAGAAGGTCAAAGGCAAAGCACCTACTAACTTGTCACCTTCATCCAACCGCTGATCCAACCAAAGCAAGAACAGAAATGAAAAAAATTAAAGAAAGCTCACCTACTAACTCACCACTGGACTTATCCTATCATCGAATCCCTGATCCATCTGAAAAAAAAACCTAGAGAAAAAGAATCAAAAGAAAATAGCTTGAAAAGTATACCAGCCTAGGTCCGATCAAAATTCAGTGACACTGTCGCATAATATCGGAGACATTAAACCACCCTAGGGTTCCGAGGTCCTCGAGGACCAGCCGCGATGCTCCTTTGACGCGACGCGAATACCTAATAAGAATTTCCATCCAACACGAAGTGCTCACGCGTCTCGTTCGCGCCGGCATCCCCGGAGCTCGTAACACGGAGTGCTCCAGGAGTCGCGAACGTTTAAACCGTTCCTCTCTCGCGAGTCCGGTAAACGCGGTAAAAATACGAAACCATCCCCCTTTCCGAATCAACCGATCGAGACTCAGCTACGAGTCGAATTGCGAGCGTCTCTAGTTAGAGAGTCTCCGGTTGAACGGCGAGAGGTAGACGGAGTCTAGCTGTTGCCTGTAGCTGTTGGCGGAGAAAAAGAAGGCTCTAACGAAGAACGTATCCGTTTGATTGCAGAAGGATGCAGCCAGGGGTGACGGTGGTTCTGGCCACGGTCTGGCTGGCGGCGTGCGTGGTGGGGACAGTCAGCTACCATCCCTCTCGCCTTACCCTCGATCAATACTCCCCTTTGGCCCCGCAGCCTCGGCAGCATGAAGTTTATCGAAGAGTCGAGGGCCAACTGGACTGGAAGGATCAGAATCCTGGCGAGAATCAGCCGTTCGACCTTTCGATCGGGCCGCGAAGGTCGATCTCGACGAGCGCCACCGGTACGTCTGGCATTCGTTACATCAGCAATTTAATTCTGTCGCCCTGGCATCCCTCTAGCTGGCAGAAACAGACCGACGACCTCGACGCCGGGGGAATATATCGTTCTGGTTAACATGCTCGTTTCTGATGTTACGGCCCCTGAGAATCAGACGCCGGGGTCGGGTAATGAAGTTCTCTTACGGAACGATTCGGATAAGCACGGTGTAAGTTACCCGAGGTCTAGGGACCAACTTGGAACACGTTTCGCCGCAAGACCGCGATGTCTTCTGATGACGAACGAGCTTTGCGCGGCTTTCGGTTAGGTTTCGATCCTCGGGAACTATTGCGATCAGGGGTCGCTGGATTCAAAGAGTCTAGGGTTATTCTAGCTGACGTTTTTAGGTCCTCGGATTTTGCTTCTGTCTTATCCTCACGGGTATTGATTTCACGGCTATCTATTTGGACTGGCTATGGCGATAATACAGTTAGGCAGGTCGATTCTTTTATGTGCTTCGCTTTATGCGTGGGGAAGAAGTTGGGCTGACGTTACGTACGTCTATGAGAGTAGGTTTCTTTTATGGGTTAAAGGATGTCGCGCGTAAGATTTCAACCCTTGCGAATTTTCTTTTAATTCTACTTAGAAAAGGAATATTTCGCAATAGTAATTTTAATCGGAACTATTTTTGGTACTATAGATTTGGTATCGTAAAAGATCGCGGATAGACTTTTAAAGATCGAAGTTTACCTAAAATGAAATTTCATAGGATGCAAATTTTATTACGATATTTACCAGCTTGCAGTACTAATTTTATGAATATTTATCGAGCCTGTTACCAGTGATAACGTTGCTTTGAAGTAAATTAAATCTGCCCCGTGCACTACTGTAAACATGAGAAAGATAATTTTCTTGGGAAGACTCTGTTTTACTCTTAACTCTTGAGAATTGAGAAAACGCGATTTTGTTTTTAGTAATAATTTAGTAATAATAAAGAAATTCGTGGAGATCGTGGACCGAGAAAATAATTATATTATATAAAATAAGTATATTATATATGTAAAAATATTCGCGTAAATATTATTCGATTTGGAAAGACAATAATTCTGACAAATTTTTGTCCGAGTTTCTCATCTTTCTTCGATATTTATTCCTTGATCGTTACCAATGCTGACACGAATCTGATCTAACGAAAGCAATGATTTATCTATTAAGACCTCGATCATAGATTCGATGTTATAAAGTTCATGATCCTTCATTGATTTGCATTATCGAGTAATTCGAGGCACGAGTAAGGAAACAAACAAGCCACTTTTGATCGATTATCTGCTAAATATTTCCACGACTAAATCTAACGTCACTGATCATCGCATTTATTTCAAGATAAAGCGTAGAATTAACCTAAAGACCTACGTTTCACTTAACATTTGCCTCGATTATTTATGAAAATACCCAATAAACATGCAACTTATTTACCTCGTTAAATGTGCCTTGGAATATGCAAATCAATCGATGGAATAAAACTGCATCGTTCCATACCTGACACCGATGCTGACGTGAAAATTTCTACGAACAATTTACACGAAGAACTTTCTTACGCGCAGAAATTACAGTGGAATATCTCGCAAATTTTTGCCTTCGCTAATTTCGCGTCAATTACATCAATTAATATTTCTCGTGAAATAAATTTCGAATAAATTTCACGTATCGCGAAATTTGATATCTCGCAACAAAACGGACGATTGTTTGGAAAATAATTAAACGATTGGAAGAAATTTGGAAAAAAATATTGTATATAGCTCGTGTTAATTGCAAAATTTTTGTCCACGCTTCGCCACGTTGACGTTTCGGAAAACGAGTTTATTTATTTCGAAAGCACGTTTATAGACGACGGGGAGAATCCTAATGGGGGTAATTTGAAACGCGAGGTAACCCCAGCTATTCAAAACCGACTGGCAAAGACGAAAGTGCTCCTTTAGATTCGAGATCATTTCATCCGAAATGTCACTTTGCTTTCACCCTTTGTCAGAGCAATCGGCCAACGACTTAATGTCGCGATCTGGATATAACGGAGATAAAATCTCGAAACGTGGTCCATTCAGAATTTCGACGGTGCTTTAACTCGGAGCCACTGGTTGCGCTTGGCTGGCAGCTGTTTACAGTACACTGTATAAGAAATCCGAATCCAGCTCTCTGGAAGTAATATAAAATTCTTATTCCACGTCTAGCCTCTTTGCATTAAAAATTTGTCTCCACGACTATCCTAAAATTTCAGTAAATTTGTTAAACGAAAATATTTCTCGAATCGAACCTTTCACTTTGAGACAGAAAAATAGGAAGTTTATGCGAATTTATTTATATAATAACATGGTAATTAATAATAATTTTCTATCGTTTATATTTTCTGAAAAAATTTGTCTCTTATCTTTCTCTGCGTTATTATTTCTCGATTTATGTTATCAAATTGCTAGGTTACGTTGGTCGCCTAGATATATCTGATTTATGAAACTAAGTTCGAGACTAATTTTTCTCGCGTCGCGTTAGAAGTATACTAAATTACATCGAAGGTCAGCCATATAAAACTTTCGGCCTAGCGGCAGCTCACCCTTATCGCAAGCTAGACCAGCCGCGACTAAACGCACGCCCGTTTCACAATCACCCTCGTTCACTCGTGCATCAACATTGCAGGGCTTCAGGGGCAATCCCGCGGGAGCAAGTACGAAGAAAGTGACTCGCTGCTCCGCCGGTCACGGAACAGCGTCGATGACAATTTTTCACCTTTAGTCGAAGATAAGCAGCCCCGTAATTTCGTCGGTCGAGAGTTCACGGATGAGAAGGCCGATAGTGAAGACACAAAGGGTCTGGAATCAGCGTCGCGCGAGCTGTCTCCTCCGTCGGAATTGGAGGATCCTTTTGTAGCCGACGACACGTTCCAAGATCAAGGACCAGGCTCCGTGGAAATATACAAATTGGACCTGCTGAGAGAGAAGTCTCTGCTGAGTCCGACACCAGTCACGAGATTCCCGTCGAAGAGCAAGGCGCCTAAGAAGACCAACCACGTGAGCTGGAAGTTCAAACCGTCCGACTACAAAGCTACCAGTCTCAAGATGCTGCACAAACAATCCAACTCGTTCGACGACTCGAGCACAGAGGTACCACCGAACACGGATCCGTTCAGTATAGGCGGAGTACCGGAGTTGCAGGTGGGCTGCGAGGGACTGGAAGCATCCGATCACGGGAAAGAGAGAAGATCGATAGACCCGCCAGCCAGAGATAAGAATCCGAAGAAGGTGATCCCGTGGGCAGACGTAACTCCGGTGTCCCTCAACTTAGACTACGATCTCTCCGGCGAGGAGGGATTCGAGGAGATGGACGAGCTGCTGAAGCTAAAGAAATCGCAGACCACCACGGAGAGGATCAAGCAGAATAGAGGCGACATGGACGCGACTCTTTATTCCAACTTCCACGACGACAAAAGACACGAGGAGAAATTACCTGTCCGCGGTGACTTGGGCAAGTCTAGCGCGAGGAACAGGACGACGGTCCTTTTGGCTGTCCATGATAATCGAAAGGCAGGGGAAGACCAGCCTTTGCATTTTTATAAAAGAAAGCCGGAAGATTACGACGAGACGAGACTCGACGACGACGACGTCGCGTCTCGAGCTAATCAGCGTCGAAGGATATTGTGGCTCGACGATTCCAACGGCATCGAACAACAGGGGGATGAAGGACGCGCGAAACGTGACGCTTGGGGATTCGGGGAGGACGAGGGTGCGGTGAACAGCGGCGAGTTGCAGACGCGGAATCAACGACGAAGACTGGACTACGAGAGGTGGAGGCAGGAGCAGGAGCAGAAGAGACAACAGGTGGATGAACAGAGGAGGCGGGAAGATGCGCAGAGACGGAGTCTCGTGGAGAATCGAACTAGTTCCGACATAGAGAAGATCAGGCAGGAGTACGAGAAGTCGTTGGAGCTGAGGCAGAGGCAGGAGGAAGAAAGACTGCGACGATTGCAGTCGTCGAACAGGCAGCAGTTGGACGAATACAGGCGACGTTCGCAGGGGAACGAATCGCGGATGAATCGATGGCAGGAGGAGCAACGTCGGAGGCAAGAGTTAGAGACGTCTCGTAAAAGATACTGGACTACGTTGCCGACCCCCACGTACGAGACGGAAAGAGAGAGACTGCGGCAGCAGGAAGAGGAAGCGAGAAGGCGGGAAGAGAGTCGTTTGAGAGAGGAGGAGAATCGACGAAGATTGCAGGAGGAAGAAGAAGAGCGTAGGAGGCAGCAGAGCAGATGGGTAGAGGAGACGAGGAGGAGGCAAGAACTGGATAGAAGAAATTTAGAGGAGAGAAGGAGGCAGTGGATGCTGAAGCAGAGGCAGCAGGAAGAAGAGGAGAGAAGACGGCAGCAGCAGCAGGCAGAAGAGGAGAGAAGGCGACAGGAGCAGCAGGCAGAAGAGGAGAGAAGGCGACAGGAGCACAGAGAAGAGGAGAGAAGACGGCAGCAGCAGAACAGGAACGCACCGTCGAATTTATCGTATCCTCCGCGAACTAGTCCGAACGAAAGTAGATCGCACGAGGCTGAAATAGAAAGGGAACGACAGCGAAAGTTGAACGAGTACATGCAACGTCATGTACCGATCAATCTGAACGATTCGATGACCCGACGAAGGGAAGAGGAGGCTCACAGGAGGAAGCTGGAGGAGGAAAGAAAATTGCAAGAGTACCTTCGACGCATGCAGAAGCCGACCGAGTCGTATGACAGGAACTGGCTCGGGTATAGAGGGCTAGACGAAGCGAGACAATATAATCGCTCGAGGTATCCGGGGCCAGGAAACGGAAGAAGAAATCATGGTCCATCAGCCTCGACTAATATCGATCCACGGTCTTACGTAGACGAGGCTAGAAGAAGCATCGAGCAGGAAAGGATGCTCGAGCGACAGAGACAGCAGCAAGAGGAGCTAAGGAGAGAAGCTCTGAGGCGAGAAGAAGAGGCTAGGAGGCTACAATCGAGGAGATACGAGGAGGAACGAAGGAGACAAGAAGCGGCTAGGTTAGAAGCGGAGAGATTGGCGAAACTGCATCGAGAAGAGGCCAGAAGAAGAAGCCAGGACCGGAGAGTGAGGCCGTTGGAGAATACGAGACCTAGCTACGAGGATCGTAGCCGATTCGACGAGCATAGGAGACCAGACACGGGTCTTATTCCAGCCAATTTATTCCTGAACGAGTCCAGGAGAGCCAAGGAGCTCGAGAGACAGAGGCAGGAGTACGACAGACAGAGACAGGAGCACGACAGGAAGATACAGGAGTATGAGAGACAAAGGCAGGAGCAACAGAGAAGAAGGATAGAAGCTGAGAGACGGCAGCAGGCGTATACCAGGTAATGAAACGAATTGAAGGAAAATGCTCAGGCGAATTTGCCGACTAAATATTAAATCGTAACGAAGTAAACCGACGAATTGTGTTAATTTGCATTGCACTAGGTTCATTTGTCCAAGCGTTTGATCTTTTATGGAGAGCATCTTCTTGGTACGGACATAGCTCACGGTTAGCGAACTCAGAGGGTGGTGATATTGGAAGAAATATTTATCGTCGTCATCTTTCCCTTCGATTTTAAATTTCCTGTAATCTTTTTACACTCGTATCATCGAGGGAATTATACCTTTGACAAATTTTTGCATTACCATTAATATTGGTATTTTCGCGGAGTCGATTTTATCCGGTAAAACGTGAAAATTTATAACAGCGAACAGATATAACGGGGATAAAGTGGAGATACGATATCAAATATTATGAAACGTTATAGTTCGAGTGATATTACAAATTATAACAATCGACGAGATTCTCGGGAATTTTGAGGTTATCGAAAAATTTGTCTAGAATGGAAATAAATTATTGGAAGGTTTTCGCGACATTTACATATGACATCGAGAAAGAGATATGGTCTAATTCATTGTCTCTATAAACATCACACTCTGAGTTACTAACCCCTACAGAGAATATTCTGTGACGCAATAGATTTTCCTAGGCGATAAATACTCCAGACAGAACCCACACGTCGGCCCTCTTGCTAATATTTATGGTACCACGACCACCCCGTAACCTTAAAGCTTGACTTTCAGAATGTTCTCACCCTTATATATCATTCCTCTTCCCGAAATTGTTGTTTTCCTATCATTCATACTGTAGCTTAACGACATTACTAAATCAACCCCGATGTTTCCCGATGCAATAGTTCTTCTATACGATCTTTGCCAATATATATTTTATAATTCTCGTATCCTATTTCAACGTTCTACGATAGAGCAGTTCTTCGCGACAACCTTCGACGATATATATTATATAATTCTTATTACGATAAGAATTTATTTTTTATACTTGTAAACATTTTTAACAGTAAAATCTGTTAGGGCAACACTACCAACGAATAGCAAGTGTATAATAAACAATATATTAATTAATAATGGAAGTATTTTAAGATTATAATATCGATTAATTGTTAGCAATATATACTGCAATAAGAGTAACTAAAATTTTGGTGAGCTAATACTTTCAAAATTCAGCCTATACTAAAAATGATAGATACGAATATTGCAATGTTAATTAATTGACAGTGGTAAGAACAATTAAAAATTTCATCCTGCTTATAAAATGATTTGAATTTAAGTATGATTACAATACTTGATGGCTTACCCTACGGCTGAAGTTCCAATGGCGCGTGCCATAATCAACAGCAGAGTCGGTCACACGTCGAGCCATACCGTCCGAACGCGACGAAGAATAACACGAAACTGAGACAGGAAAGTATATGCGAAAATGAACCACGACTCTGACTGAACGTTACTCGGACTGTTTACATTGGACCTTATCTACAAACCAGGCCTTCAATATTTCGCTAGATTTCCTTGCCACGAATCTCACACTATATTATACGCGAAAAGGTTTCTTTCACATTCTTTTCAAATTTGATAGCCTGTGTTAAACGATGTTTACAAGTATGAAATATGTATGACGTTCGATGTTACCGCTATAAAGCCACCAACTTCTCAACCATTTGAACAGCTATAACATGACTGAAGAAACTAATTCCTGGATGAACAGACGAATTTCGTACATCATTGTTCGCCCAAAATTGCATGAAAATATTTCCATCCTATTTAACAAGAAAATATCCAACAAGATCCAGACCAATCCTAAAAACTGTCAACATCATAGACTAAAATAAAAATAAGCTACACATTAAACAACTGTCAGCTACCAAAAATCCGAAACGAGATATCCAATCTCCCTTTAAAGACGAGGCTCATACATACTCAAATAAATTCCCAGTTCCAAGCTGCATAATGATCCAACAACACTGATCTAACAGCACTCTTTACCCAAAACAGAAAAGAAGAACATTGCAAAAGCAATCTACAGCAAAATATTTCCACCTTAATTCGCAAAAAAGAATTCAACAAGCTCCCAATACTGTTCTTTCAAACCTGAACACAAAGATGCAATCGACACTACCAAAGGGTGCAAAACATGACACCCAACAAACTGTCAACGTTGTTCACTCAAACTAAAATGTAAAGACCTATCTTACAATCTTATACATACTCAAACCAGAACACAAAGACGCAATCGATACTATCAAAGACTCCAAAACAAGACATCCAACAAACTGTCAACGCAGTTCACTCAAACTAAAATGTAAAGACCTATCTTACAATCTTATACATACTCAAACCAGAACACAAAGACGCAATCGACACTATCAAAGACTCCGAAACAAGACATCCAACAAACTGCCAACGTTTTTCATACAAACCACAACGCAAAAATGCAGTCGACACTACCAAAGGGTCCAAAACATGACACCCAACAAACTGCCAACGTTGTTCACTCAAACCAGAAAGTAAAGACCTATCTCACAAACTTATATATACTCAAACCAGAACACAAAGACGCAATTGACACTATCAAAGACTCCAAAACAAGACACCCAAGAAACTGTCAACGCAGTTCACTCAAACTAAAATGTAAAGACCTATCTTACAATCTTATACATACTCAAACCAGAACACAAAGACGCAATCGACACTATCAAAGACTCCAAAACAAGACATGCAACAAACTGCCAACGTTGTTCACTCAAACCAAAGCGCAAAGACCTATCTCACGATCGTATACATCCTCAAACTCCCAATTCTGTCAACTGCGCGCACCTAACCTAATCCAAGAATCGGTCGTTATCCAGCCCGGTAACCTACCAACGCGACACGCGAGATCGTTCGCTGCCAACAGTCGGAACTCGAGTCGGCGAACAGTCTCGCGTGTGTAGCGTCGAGACGCCAGCGAGGATTCAGCGAGCTAGCAGAGCTCGTAAAGGTGGGACAGTTATCGTGGCGGTTATTGCGTTCCGCAAGATCCATCGCGTGTCTTTGCGACCGCGGGCGAAGATAAATATTCAGCGAGAAGACCTTCTGACAATTTGGTCGGCGGGAAACGGCTGGCAGGGCCTGAGTTAGCGCGCGACGTTAATGAAACAAACAGGCCGGTCGCGACAATGAGCTTCCTCTTTCGTCGCACGCCCGATAATACAACGTCCCTTATCCTCCGCAGAACGCAGGAGGCATGGAAGCAGGGACAACGCACCAGGGTGATGACGGAGGAAGAGAGACGCAGGGAAGAGGCCAGGCTGAACGCGTTGAGCGTGAAGGCAAGAATAATAGTCCAGCCCGCGGTGCCTAACGTGATATCGAGGATGGGCTTCGACAGTGATATCGATTTCCCGGTGAGTCTTCTATTCTCTATTCCTACGAGCCTCTGTTTCAGTTCCAGCGCTCCTGGTAAGATTGTCCAAGACTTTCGCGCGCACTTCAGATCAGAGACTTCCGATAATTGTTTCGGTTTCGCCTTATCCTGTCGCGCCTGTACGCGTATTACACGGTGACGATGCAGATTCTGTGGCTGGGGTCTTTGAAAGGGCTGATCGTGGGTTAAGGGTGATTCTCGATGCACTTCCTTCGCTCGTATGTAACACTTTTTGGTCAGATGCGCGAGAGTTTGATGAATATCGCTTGGCCTGAAGAGGTTCTATGGTGCAAATGACACTGACGAGTACTGACACGGTGATTTCTAAAATTTTCGGGATTCTAGTAGGTTCTGGGATCTGGGATATTTTTGACAATCTTAAAGATTCCTAGATGCAGGGTATTTGGAATCTCGTAGATTTCGGGATCTGCGATATTTTGCGGAATTCCGAAGATTTCGCAATCCGGGATATTTTGGGGAATTCTGAAGACTTGGGATGTGAGATATTTTTGAGAATTTTGAAAATTTCTGGGCTTAAAATATTTCAGGGAATCTTGAAGATTTCGAGATCCATGGTATTTTGGGGAATGTTAAAGATTTTGAGATCCAGGATATTTTAGGGAATCTCAAAGATTTCAGGATCCAGAATATTTTAGGGAATCTCAAAGATTTCGAGATCCGGGGTATTTTAAGGAATTAAAAAAGCTTCAGGGTTCAGAATATTTAAGGGAATCTCAAAGATTTCAGGATGCAACGGAATATTTTAGGAAATCTAAAGATTTCAGGATAGAATATTTTAGGGAATCTCAAAAATTTCAGGATCTCGAATATTTTAGGGAATCTTGAAGATTTCGAGATCCATGGTAATTTGGGGAATGTTAAAGATTTTGAGATCCAGGATATTTTAGGGAATTTCAAAAATTTCAGGATTCAGAATATTTTAGGGAATCTCGAAGATTTCAGGATCCAGAATATTTTAGGGAATCTCAAAGATTTCGAGATCCGGGGTATTTTAAGGAATTAAAAAAGCTTCAGGGTTCAGAATATTTAAGGGAATCTCAAAGATTTCAGGATACAACGGAATATTTTAGGAAATCTAAAGATTTCAGGATAGAATATTTTAGGGAATCTCAAAAATTTCAGGATCCCGAATATTTTAGGGAATCTTAAAGATTTCGAGATCCAGGGTATTTTTCATGTATCATACATGCAAAATTAACAAATATATACATAAATAAGAACACATTCTCGCGTCAGATTCCTTATTAAAAAACTTCGCTGAAATGCATCGACAAAATGAAAATGGAAAAATGGAATACTCGAGGAAGAAGGATCCTTATTGATCGAGGACCTTAATAAGACCTCAAGGTCCGAAAAGGGGTAACGTTAAAAGGGTGCAAGGGTCGTGACGCGACGACAACTCCGCCATTCAGTGAAACGGAAACCGATAGGACTCGCTCCTGTCTCGACGTCATGTAGCGGCCTATCGAGACGAGCGTCGTTATCGCTGATATCGGTATTGGTGTTCGCGATCGTTAAAGGTGGAATAATCGAGCTCCGGATATGGCGCTCGTGCGAGCACCGCGGTAATTTATGGTGTAATATTCGCGCACCGAATTGTTGTAACAGGAGCGAGCGGAGTGGATGAAGGGATATAAATTACGTCTTAATTATAAATTAAGGGTTACGGGTTATTACGTTGCGTGGTATAGTAGTTCGCATGTAACGCGTTGAACACGAGTCTACGATGGAGATTTCTTTCGAAAGGGGAATATATGGCTGGGTTCGGACTATGTAAATCTTGCTGAAGACGCAGATGGGCGTGGAGAAGTATGATGTGCATGGAAAAGTTAGATAGGGGTTGAACATTCAGAATACGATGTTAAAATGACTCGTGGTTTTACTTATTTATTTATTCATTTCTTCAAACGGTTTTTTGCTGTAACGCATAATGGAGATAGAGTAAAGTAGAAGAGATTCGCGGGGGATAAGTATCGCGAATATTATTTTTATCCACTGCGTGCTATAAAAAATTTAATGGGGCAATTAGTTTGAAACTCGAGAATAACTTTTTATCATTAATTACGAAGACGACGGGAAATGTATTTATAGTAACTGCGGTATAGTTAAGGAAGAAATACGAGTAAATTATAATTATTTATAATTATACAAATATAATTATAAATATAATTATAATGTATAATATAATTATACAAATTTGGTTGTATAAGTACATAGTAAAATAGCATTATAATGTCGCAATCTGATATTCAAATATTATAATTCATTTTACGGGGAATTATATTTATCGTTTTAGTACATTTATTAGCTTTTTATAATTAACTCCTTGCACTATAACAAGGAGTCTAGCTTGCCATGAGTTGCTCGTACCAGATTAGTCAAAGATGAACTATACTAATCGTACAAATAAAATTATAGTCACAAGATGAGTCATTAAAATTAAATCCTACTCGAAACGAATTAATCGCTAATTTAGAAAAGCGTCTATTCGATACAAAAGTTCTTGGAATACTCCTGGTGTAAGGGATTAACAAAAGCAGAGTGCAACTATGTACATCAAATTTTACACTAGAACTGCCGATCTTTAATGGGTACCTAACTATAACGTGCACAGATTATATTAATTTCAGCGATACGATGAACATGAGTGAATATATCGATTACAGTTCTTTCTTAATACGAGTTGATACCAATTTTATTCTTAAAACAGGTGTATGTGTTCGGTGATTGCAAAAAGGAAAATTCTGGGACCAGTCATTTTCACTGGGTTGGTAGTTCTAGTGTTAATCCTAATTTCTCAGCTTTAAATTCCACTCTACTTCGTTTAATTTTTAAATTCTATTCAAATAAAACGAATAAGAGAAATAATCTCTATATTCATTTCTATAAACATCCTCTTCAGTAAAATTTCCATACCAAATCCCTGCCAATCTTCCCAAATTTAAACGACGGTCGCATTTTCTAAATTTCAAAAGAATCCGTTGCAAATTCTCCAATGATACCCGACCATCGAATCGTGCATGCAAATACCAGCCTGCGACCCAATCTATCTAATTTAATTCAATCGATATACCCCACATCGATGGCATCGCCGTCCAGCTCGTGCCACGTTATACTCTTCGTCGATATTCGACAGGATAATGCGAAAGATAAAGTTTCCACGGGAGCAGTTCCAGCGAGAAGTTGAAAAAGAACATACGAATCTACTCGCGACTTGTACTTGTTTACAGGGAGCTAATATGCATCGACCCGGGCCGATAGCTGCCAACTTCCCAGCCCCGTCCACTCAGAAACCTAAGAAAAGCCTTCCACCCTGCATCTGGGCGGTTGTCCACTGTTGTCCGTCGAATATCAACCGCCTGGTGAACTGTTTCGAGGCTATGGGCTGTCCGGGTGTCAACTGGGACCCCGCACCGTGCAGAAGCAGCATCGTCGAAGCTGCCAGGAAACAGGTGAACAAGTTCTACGAGGAGGACGAGGACGAAGATTATTAGCAGAAACGCGAGATGGTAGAGTGTGCGTTTCGCGGGATAGGATTTCGTGGATCGTCCTTTGAAATGTCCTTTGCCAACCAATCGCAGGAGATTGCCTGTAGCTCTTAAGGAAGACGGAGGCGATTAACGCGAGTGGATCGAACAGTTGACAGGGGAATTGACCGAGGAACCTGGTCGTTAGCCTACACTCCTGGTCGAATCGAAATGTGCAGAATTTATTTCACGAGATATTTTTCAATCGATGGTAGCTACTGTGTTTCGTGTATCGTGAATTGCTCTCTGAGCTTTTTAGCGTTTGCCAATGATACGTTCATGTTCTATTATAATACATGATGGGGCTGAACAATGCGAGATGTTCAGTACACGAATTTAATTTCTGATATAATATATATATATTCCCTTCGTATTAGATATTTCACATAAAATATATCACCTTTTCTTTATAAATTTATGTTTATTGTGAACAAAAAAAACATTTTGAGAATATAATAAATTCTTTTCTTTATTTTATTGGGAACATTACGATCGATTCAATGGCTGCGAAGTAATTACAGTTACTAGTACTTAGATATATATACAGAAGAAATTCGAGAAATTTTGGAATCTGCATATTTCTACGAAACTTCACCGTGATTAATTATCCTACTTGAAGGAAATGAAGATATCCTCGATTTATTTCGTTCACGACGAAATTGTTCGAGTAAAATTTTAATTTAGGATTCGAATTTTAATAATTTCATTAACGATACTTTCTCGATTTCTCCAGTATTATCTTTCCCTTTAAAAACTCGTATCAAATTTGCAATCACGTCCACGTTGGAGTATCTGCTGAACACTTCGATCCACTCGAGTAGCCACCCTCGTGTCTCTAAAACGCGAACACGAAAGAACTCGTGACACGTGGCTAGGAGGGCACCGCTTGTGTTCTTCGCTGTTCTCGTATTCTTAGAACGTGAAACAGACAGTTACATTATAGATCGGATATTTTTCTATTCGCTTCTTTAGATCGACGTAGCGTTGCATGACAGCCTTTTAAATATAACAGCGCGGACAATTGCGCCAACGATTTCGAAAGCGTCGCGTTCCTCTTGTGAAACCGGTGCGTCAGAAATTCTGCGAGGGCTTGCGAGCCGGCTCGAAATTATTTTTCCCAGTACCACCATCATCCCGAGTGAATTTTTACGGCTCGATATCGCGCGACGCGTCGTTAAACGCGAACAATTCCTCGCAACGATTCCGACACGTTTATAGAATGCGTCGAGGATTCAGGAACCGGAACGAGACCGGGGAACTTGTTTCGCCATGGAAAATCGCTACGAGCCGTGGGTTCCAAGTTAATTTCGAAATTCTCGAAACTCGAATCCGAGACTTCGTAAGATTCGAAACCCGCGAAATTCTCGAAACTTTCGAAACTCCTGAGTCGAGTTCGTCCCGCGAGAGGAATCGTTTCGTGAACCGAAATCTTAACAAAAATCTTGCGTTAATCTTTGTTAGTCGTAGTTAATCCTCTTAGTACCCTAGTACTTATATACCGATTCCTAATACTTTTCTCGAGATACGTTTTCAACCCATATTTTGATTTTTCTTCCCTTTAATTCGATTTTGACACACGCATGTAATATGGCGATTTATTTCTATAATACAAATGTAAAAGCACGTATATATTTTACAACGAAATATAAAACAAACGTAAAATTATTTCCTTTTAAAAGAAAAATATGTTCGCTTTAATATGTATTTCCAAAAATAATTAGTTTTTAAGGTGTTCTTGCTGGTACATAGAAAACTCGTAAGGTACTAGAATGGTTAAGTAAAATACAAATAAAATTGTAACGATTTAGAAAAATATCTAATCGGAATTTTTTTTCAAAATCGCTAATTTGAATATCATTATTTTATATCGACTATAGCTCTCGATGTGCTGAAGGGTTTTCCAAAATGCAACGTTGACTCGATAAAATACCTTCTCCTTTATTCTTCGATTTTACATTTCCTTTTTATCTCACTTTCAAGAATTTCGAGTCACGAAACGAGCGCGGAATTTCAAATTCTCGAAACTTAAAGCTCTTTCAAAGAATACCATTAATATCATCGCGATGAGATATTTTTCCTTTATTCGCCGATCTTACATCTCCCTTTAGCAAACTTTCGAGAATCTCGATTCACGAAACCAGCGCGAAGTCTGTAATCCTCGAAACGGCAAACTTTCCCGGGACTTGGAGGAATTTCGAAGCCCCTGCGTTTCGGGGTACCGATCCCTAATTCGGGCCACAAGACGTAAGCGTGTGCAGTATTTGGAGTAATCGTAGGGTGAAATAAAACGTGGTCAACGTATCCCGAAACATCTCGAATTAACGTTCATTAAGCGACCCTGGGCGCCATTGAATCGTTGCAGCCTCGCGATGCAGGGGTCGAAACGGAACAGGAATCGTTATGCTTTACAGACCCGATACAATTCCGAGAGGGAGCCAATATTCAACAGAGAGTAACTGATCGTTTAGTATTGGCCGGTCGCCAATTTCGGTGCCGAGTCGGTTAGCATGTAAAAATATAGCTATAAATCGGGCACGAGCGATCTAGAATGTGTGTCTACGTGCATGTATGCGTGTGTGTGCGTGTATGTGTGAGAGAACGAGAGAAGAAAAACGCGACATATGGTCGCGTAGCAGACGCACGTGCAATTAAGCATGTTCGTTTCGCGTTTAACGAACGTAGAATTATTAACCGTGAGCCCTTTGTTTCTCCTCTTGTACGTAGTCTTCGAGCTATATTACCGCAGCTTTCTCACATGTGATATAATAGATAGGCTCTTAATTTGCTCTAGCATAGTGACGTATTTATCTCTGTAACGTAGACGAACATTTGCGAGTATTAATCGAGAAGGAAAGATCGTTTGCCAGCGACGAATATCATAGTTGGAAGATGCGTTTATGCTTGTAAGATGCGAGATAGTGTAACGCATGATGTTGGTTCGAATTGTGTAACGAGATTGGAAAATCGAACAGTACTAAAAGGATTAACGAAATGGACGTTTCGACTTTCAAAATAGCAATTTTAAATACTTCTATGTGGATCACTGTAGTGCAGTGTTAATGTGGAATCAACCCTTCTGTTCATGGGTATCATTGATAATTCAAAAATTAAGGTCCTTTTAAATATTCGAGATATGAAACGGAATTTAGAAATAATAAATTGAAAATTGAGTTGGAAATGTTGAAGTTAATAATTGTTTACCACTTTACAATTTAACATTAGGTCTACGCTACCTGTATACCTATTTCTAACGACACCTGTCAAATTGACAGGTGAAGGAAACCACGTGCCTTTCTTTTTAACGATTAGTTTAATTTAAAAACAATTATATATTATATTAATTAGAGCAACCTTTCCGTCAAATGGACGGGTTCCGTAAATCTAGTGTTAATATTACATACCTATAGCTAGAAGTGTTTTGTTAGGGAGAACCATTATGGCAATCATTAGTGTACCAAAATACATATTCTAAATGTAAATTGATTCAATGCATCTTCTTCTCGCTGTATTTAAATGTAAAAATAGTATGTATTTGACATTAAACCTACGAACAAATATGGACTAAATATGAATTTCAAAGGAAAAGAGGGGAAATAAGAAAAGAGATATATATATTGAGAGGTTAATTATATATACATGGTGGATGATGTAACGTGACCATCTCGATTATCCTCTGTTATTTTCGTCCAGTTTGTACCGAAGAGACAATAAACAATAATTTAATAAGCATGCAGAGAATCGATTTACTGAAAATGAAAACTGTACAAGTGGTCACGTTGAATGGTTCACCCTGTATGTTATGGGAAATTCTTGAAGTCAAATGCCAAAGGTGCAGAAGTAGCAAGTTTTCGCATGAGCACCAAGGGTCGACACACTAGCCGCTTATCAGTAATAGGATTGAACAAAATTTACCAAAAATTTATTGAAATATCGATAATAAGTGACAGTTAACAAACTATTGTACGCCGAAACTCGAAATTAATTGATAATATTTTCGTTTTTAATTTTGTATTTACAAATTTTGACTTTGAGTGTTATCAAAGTCGGCAATGAAGGGTGTCATTTGGACGTCAATCGAAGTGAACGCTTAGTACGATAATTTATGAAAGCGTTATATCGTTCGAGCCAACTATACGTTTCATGGATGTATCGAGGGACGATGGGATAGTTTAAGTCGACTACAGGGACAGGTGGTTAAGCGAAGATTAGTATTCTCTGTTCTGATCAATAATCTAGGGCGGTAGCAACGATGTGATCGATATTTTTCTACGTGACACGTTGGAAAGAGGAACATGTAAGAATACGTGCTTGAAGCGGTGAGATTGTAGAGATTCTTTTAGCACGCTGTAACATATTTAACACTTACTGTGTAATATAGATAATAATTCTTTATAAATACAAATGTCTAACTCAACATCGACTGTCTTATTTTTCCACCTTTTACCAATTTTAATCTGCAAGATTTATATTAAATATTCCAAGAATGTTTCCAGAAGTGATCACGATACTCAGAAATATTTTGAATAAATTCAGTGTGCTTCTGGGGGTTAAGGGGAGGGTGCAAAAAAGATTGTAATATGAGTAAAGAATACAAGTGTAAATTTTTGGTAAATTTATATAAATTATTATATTACCTTCAACCTTTCAGGTATCCTAAATTTCATATCCAGTATTAGGAGGTACAGAATTTTTGACAACAGTGGTCTTCCAACGCGTGGCCTACGAGTTAACTTCCGATGGCGTGTGCCATAATCAACATAGTCGGTCACACGTCCGAACATTGCGAAGAATAACAGGTAACTGAGGTACGAAGGCATCGGCGAAAATTAACCACGTGCCTAACTCGTCTTGTTCACGTTGAGCCCTATCTGCAAACCACGTCTCCCAACCGTGATACTTATGTTTGGCCCAATTTTCTTACCACGAGTCTCACACTATTGTGAAATATTGCAGACGAAATGGTTAATGACTATAATATTGGTCTGCCTTTTTTAATACTACTGCACAGAGACGAGAGGTCTCCGTTACGTTAATAATTAAGCAACAAATATTGCTTAATTATCGACGCGATTATGTTTCTGTTCGAGTCACGCTGAACGAAAGGTTTCATAGTCACAGGAGATCACTATATCCGATACCAGTAGATCATTTTACTAGGAATACTCGAAAAATAAAATTTACAGCTTGTGTGTAATTGCAATTTTTATTCGAGCTGAGTCGTATTGGACACCCGGTACATACCGATATGCCGAATTACATTAATTCGAAATGTAAAGTATCACCGCGTGAAATTATTTTTCCTCGGATGAAACTGGATGTATCGCTAAAATTCATAGAATTTATAATAGAGATATATCGACACGACATGCTTATTCGATTTAAAAAGTGCGATAAAAATGCGGTCTCAATGGAACATGCCATCATCATCGATCACACTCTATTCATAATAAAAATGGGAAATATTCGATGCGACGTGAATGAATATTAATGAAAGAACTGAAATACATTCACTTGCTACATAACAAAAAGAAAAGGTATTATAAGTACAAAAATAACCCTTGAAAATTATTCGAAATATGGATGACAATTACTTAACTTCCCATTCTCTTAAAATTTTCCTTCCATGTACTAAAGAGTATCAATTTAAATGATATAAAATTTGTATAAATAAACGAGATTTTTACATTATAAAAATATTCTAAAGACGGTATCTTTTTCAATATTCCTATGAATAATATTTTCCAACGAAGCATTTTCCTGTAAAATCAAATTTGATTTATAATCATGTTTCTTTTCTTCGTTTTGTCATGTTGCGCTGTTTTAAAATCATTCGACAAATACTAGAAATAATAAAGCTATCATTTTGAGGTATACTGCACGTAAATGTAAAAATATCGATTTTTAATGTAGCGTGGAGATATATCAATGACACTAATTTTTGTTAAAATGCAAATGATATGATTTATAATTAGATACATATACAAATATTTTTATATTATTACACAATATAAATTATAATAAATAATGTACAAATATATATATTTTATTTTTCTTCTTTTCTATCGCGAATTACCATTTTGAAATTGCTCGAGGCGCACAAAACATCCTAATCTATAATTCTGTCACGTACTATACATAAACACAAGTTACACGGAAATTGCCGAAATAAAAAACACCGTTTGCTAACTATACAAGCTACTTAAAATCGTGCTTAAACTTGTTGCACGCAAGCAAGATAATCCACTGCCTAAAATTACATGGTAACTGACGTGCACACTCTGTGGAAACATTTTTTCCCGCTTTTATTCGGCGCGGAAGGGTAGTTTTAAGAGGCAACTATTTTTCCGCTTAGCGGAGGGCGTAAAAGTGCCCTGTGATAGGTCAGTGCTTGGCGTGGCGAAAGTTCTTAAAATTCCTCGTCTCTTTTCGAGCGAGTAGAATAATCCCGTACCCTATCGGACATGAAATGGGCATTGCCTGTTGAAAAGCGACGTGACCAGCAGCTCAAAGAGAAGAATTTGTTTCTTCTCTCCCTCTCTCCCCCGACCTCTAAAACCATCCTGAACGTGATCGAGCCACTGGATAACCGATTTCTCTTCAATTTGTAATTTCGCTCCCG